TCAAAAAATTGTGGCTTGTGCTTTATACTTTCTCCGTATGTCTTGAATTCTATGCTTCCCAAGTCAAATTTGCATGGGCTATATGACTCTGCATGCATGAAAACATGACAAACAAGCACCTGGTTATTTTGATGAGCACAGTATGTTGGTACCATTTAGTACTCAATAAAAATATTATACCTCAAATAAAATCCACATTCAGGAAGGCACTCCAATTTCAGTTTTAATTGGCCTCTTAATTTGCAGTTTTGTCTTCTAGAACCTATTTTGCTTCTGGTCATCAGAAATCATAATGGTGGTTTCTTTTTTGTTTTGTTTCTTTATTGTGATCTTTTGTGTTTTCTCAATTTGAGGAGACTGACCTATAGCTATGGTAAAAGGCAGGATGATCCTAAAACATACATATTTTATTACATTTTATTTCCCCAAAGAATAAGATACCATCCACTTAATTTGTCTTCATGCCTTCCCATCCTACTAATCAACATATGAGGAAGGGGGACCTTTAATGCTGCTAGTATCTCTTGCAACTCTGTTTATTAGGTCATTTTTGCTTCAGTTGGTGAGCATTTTCCTAAAGGAATCACTGTCACATTCCCACAGTCAGTATTCAGTCCTATCATTGTAATACTTGATTTCCCAGAATCTGAATCTCTTCATCCCCTGGATGTTACCTAGGAGATGAAGCTCATCTTTGTGAGTTCTATCAATCCTGATCTTCCTACCACCACCTTTATGCAACTTCATCTATTCTTTCTTCCTTTTACTCCCAGCTCAATGTCTTTAATCCATGCTTGATCCCATTTCTCTGCCTGTGGAGGAAGACCCTGTTTTATAATCCTGTCATATAATCAAGCCTTTTTTTTTTTTGACTCTACTCAGCTCTCATTTCCCTTCTTCTATATTTTGAAAGCACTCCCTTTTTCCTAGCAATATTTTTTAATATCTAACAATTGAGGTTTATGTGGTTAGCAAGTACAGGAATCAAAACAGTTTAGTCTTTTCTTTACCTGCCCTGCTCCATAAGGGCTGAACACATACCAATCACTGACATATGACCTAGTCTCTGATCAATGACATTTGACCTAGTCATTGATCGCTGACATGTGACCTAGTATTGAATCTGACATCTTTTTCTCACCTCCCAATTCTTTTAAAACATTTTATAGAGTGATGACTCCACCTTGCCAGAAGTCAGAAAGGAGTGTTTCCAAAATTCTGGATGGAACTTTTCTCTACATGCTTCTACTGAAATTTTGAACCTTTCTCTGTATTTTTTACCTGTGGTTTCCTATTTTCAATATTCTTATTATGGGCCTTCTACTTGTACTTGTTCTCCATACTCTCTCTAATCCCTTTATCCGGAATTTCCCTATTTAAAATATCCTACACTCCATGAATAGTTCCAAAAACTATTAACGCTGAATTGCAGGCCTATATTTCCTGTTTTGGCAGGATTTTCTGATGTTAAATTCTATGAATATGTCAATCTCCTTGGGCCCAGAACAACAAGCCATGTTTTCCTCTTTCTTCAGTTTGCTTTTGCTCATTTCTCCCTTTCTGTTCCTGGATGTCATCTTGTAGAATAAAATATTGCCATTTCTGGCCCCATTATCCCCTCATCTGCAGAGCAGCCACTTATTGGATCTCCTAGTCATATTGGCCTGGTAGCCACAAACCACCATGCTAATATTCCTGATGTACAATTATGGCTTAGTCCCTGCTGAACGACCCTGGGCATAGTAAAATTCAGATCTCAGCACAGCTTTCCTGGCTCTCCATGGCCCTGCAGCTTCTTAGCTATCTGATTCAAGCTTCCTACTCTGAACAGAAGACACATCAGCTTTCCCTCACTTACTGGTTACATAGGGTGTTTCCCCCCATTCTTTCCCTTGAAACTTATTTGCACGTTTGTGTTCATAAAATGTGTTTCTTACAATAAGAACACAAAGTTTAATGCTGTCTTTTTATCTAGCCTGAAAACTGTGTTCTCTTTTACTTTTATTATTTTTAATTTTTATTCTTCTGGCTTTTGAGACGGAGTCTAGCTCTTTATCCCAGGCTGAACTAGAACTCGTGTAGCTTGGGCTGGCCTTGAACTTACGGCAATCTTTCTACTTCAGCATCATATTAACTACGTTTGGGTATGAGTATCCGTGCCTGGCAACAGGTCTTTTAATTGTGTTGGTTTAGTCTATTTAAATTTATTGCAACTATTGATTTCTTTTGTGGGGGAAAAAGCAAGCTTATTGGGGTATAGTGCAAGAGGGAGCAGGGTAAGTAGTAACAAGAAAGAGTACTGCCCCGGCCAGTTATTGACACATTTGACCATATTTCTACCTGTCTTCCTGTTTTATTGCTATTAATTACCAGGCTCTAGTGAGCTAGTGTTTTTGTTTCTGTTTTATTATCCTTCCTTCTTTGGGGATTGGTTAATATATCATATTTGGGGTTTGGATGGCCATTTATTGTTTTTAGTTTCTTCCCTTGTATATCTGTATGCACTAGTGGCTATTATATATGTTAAAATAAACACCTTTGACTCAATATTCCTATTCAAAAGCTATTTCAAGAAAAATATAATCAAATTAATAATTATCTCATTTTGAGTTTTACTCCACCCTGTGTTCTTGATGGTTTTAACTTATTTTGTACATATATACAATAAGCTCTGTCTTGGATACTTTTGCTTCAACTAGCCCATTATCTAAGAGACTTCATATTCTGTATGGCAAAAATATAAATATTTCAAAGCTTATTTTATTGACTAATTTGCATTTTATAGTATTCCTCCATTGTTTCTTACAGAACTAAACTATTTGCTGTTCCTTTTGTCATTTAAAACCTCTCATAGAATTTTTGGCTCAACAAGTCTATCAGTAATGAATTATTTAACTGTTCCCATGGCCCAAAGCTACCTTTATTTCATCTTAAGTTTTGGAAATTGTTTTTATTGGACTGAAATTCTGAACTGACATTGTCTTATAGTAGGATAATTTGTTTTGCTTTGTTTACTTTTATTATTAAGAAATGTTAAATCATTATTTTGTGACCTCTATTTTTTTAATCTGTGGAGAATCGAGAAAAGAAAATAAATGGAAAAAAAAGGAAGCCTGTATAGTATGCAATAGATATGGCACAGTTTTACTAAGGACTTCTGGAAAACTGTATGAAATTAGCTTTAAGTGACATACTTATCCACCAACTCTCATCTGTATTAGCTACTTTTCTTATTGTTGTAATCAGATACATGAGAAGAAGCATTTTAATGGAGGGTTGATTTTGACTAAGATTTACAGGCATATTCACCACAGCAGAAACAGGAAACTTCTTCAGTGATACACCCAGGAGCCTGTGTGTATCTCCTAGGTGATTCCAAATCTAATAAAGTTGACGGTGAAGGTCAACCATCACACCACCCGTTGTCAACTAGACACTGAACACATCACTTTCAAGTTATACCATTCTACCCATGGCCTCAAAGGCTCCTACTTTTCCTATAAAAAAGAGTCCATAAAGAGTCATAGCACTCTCATGAACTGGCTTTTGAAGCCCATCCCATATGGTAGGATGCCTTGCTGTACCTTGGTGGGGGGTGGGAGGAACTTGGTCCTGCCTTAGATGAATGTGCCAGGCTTTGTTGATTCCCCATGGGAGGTCTTACTCTTTCTGAGGAGTGGATGGGAATGAGTTGGGTGGGGGGAGGTGGAGAAGGGAAAAGGAGGGGAAGAAAGGGCTGTGGTTGGTATGTAAGATTAATAAAAAATAAAGTCATAGCACTCTCAACACCATTCAAAATTTAAGTTCAAAGCCCATCAGAAACTCTATAGTCTCTTACCTGTAAGTTCTTGTAAAATAAAAAAGCCACAGATTTCTAATATGCAATGACAGAATATGCATTCTCATTGAAAAGGAAGAAACTAGATTAACAAATGAAGACTGGGCTAAAGAAACACTAAAATAAACAGGGCAAACACCAATCACTGTAGCTCTATGTCCCACCATCTAGAGATGCATCTATTTACCTATTTAGCGGGTGTGTGTGTGTATATGAGGGCCAGAGGACAACTTGCAGGAATTGATTCTGTCCTTCCAATGCATTGGTAACAAGGATCTAACTCAGGTTTTTCAGTCTTGGTGGGAAACCCTTGTACTCATTGATTCCTCTCATTCCCTACTCTGAGGCTCCTTATGGTTTATATGCGATGCCAGATGCAACCCCAATTTAGAGTTTCTTCTTCTCCTCAGTGAAAACTCCCTCAAAAAATGTACTTAGATCTGTATCTCCCAGGTGATTCCAAATCCAGTCAAGTTGTCAATAAAGATCACCGTGAAGAGGCTGGGTATGTATCTACCAATTTGATCAGTGGTTTTGTTTGTAGTGGATCTTAATCCAGTCTGAGAAACAGAAGTAAAGGTACTTGCAGTAGAAAGATGCTGATGTGAGAGAATGTTTTCAGGCCTAAGTCACCTGCCCTCTGATGTCACTTTCATTTTCAGTTATGTTGGCACATTAGGTCTTGATGTTACTATGAGGAGAATTCTAGCCTCACTGCCTGTAGCATCTCCCAGCATTATAGCTCTGATGTAAGACTCAGAAAATCAGTCTTATAATGAAAATACATTTTGACAATAAAATACGAAGAGTTCTAGCTGGCTCTTTTTTATTCCCCTCGAAGCTCATATCCACTCATGTAACAACATAGTTGCATAGTTTGATCTCAAATTCACCAGACTGGTTGGAGTTCTATTTCGTGGTGTGTGTGTGTGTGTGTGTGTGTGTACACCTACAGATGCCTGTGGAATCCAGGAGCTGTTGGATCCACTGGACTTATAGGCTGTAGTGACTTGCTGGAAACTGAATTCAGGTCTTCTGCAAGAGCAAGCAAGTACTCTAAACCCCTAAGCTATCTCTCTAGCCCTGATAACTGGAATTAAAAATATTATCAAATATAATTTTCACACCATTCCTTTATCTAATGGGCTTATATTATTTTCAGCCAACAATGATAAGGCGTCCACCAACAGTTGTTTGTTACATCTGTGGACGTGAATATGGGACCAAATCTATTAGCATCCATGAGCCACAATGTCTGAAAAAATGGCATAATGAGAACAACTTGTTGCCTAAAGAACTAAGGAGACCAGAACCGAAAAAACCAGAAGTTAGAACCATTACTGGTAAGTTCTTACCTCACTCCCCCCCGCCCCAAAATTCTGAAAGTTAACTATTTTTTTTCTTACTAGTTCTATCATGTAAAGTCAGAAGCACTTACTGTCCTAAATGAAGTGAAATTGATTTTTAAAAGACATTCTGAAATGTCCTTACAGTCTTGTCTTCAGATAATGAGACATAAAGATATTATGTCCTGGCAACATCTTGTGAGAGGGACCCACGGGAATTTACCTAAAATTATTTTTATATATCATCACACATAATATTTAAAATAACATGAAGCTTAAAGATGTTGAAGAATATTCACAGCCTTGTTTTCATTTATAAGTGTGTCTTGATTTCCTCATGGAGCAGGAGTACCAAACTCAAATGCATGCAGGGTCAACTAATCAGGTGACAAATTTGAAGAAAGTGTTTCCTCTGGACAAAAATGGAAGGTGCCCCTATCCGGCTGCTGTTGTCATTAAGAAACTTAGCCCAAGATATTTGTATTTTCCAATAAATGCAAACGAAACCAGAAATCCAGACATCTGGAGGGAACATGCAGATTTTTTTTCAGTCAGTAATTTATAAAGTGCTAAACAACCCAAGTGAAAGTGGAGATGGACTGCCTCACATGGAGGTCACAGAGTGCTTGTTCCCACAGAGTATGAACGGACTTGAGAGAAAAACATAATATATACACATATATTATATATTATTTTAGATATAATAGTACATATTACACATTTATATTACATATAAAACATAATACATATTACACACAATAAATATAATGTATAGCAATTATATTATTTATAACTGTGATGTGTGACTATATATGATTCTATATTATATAGTTAATTATATGTGTATTTTATATTATATAACATGCCATTTTATATATTATATAATACACTCTATTATATAATATGTTCTGTGTTATATTATATGTGATGTTTTATATATGTGTAAAAATATTTATATAACAGCCATGCAAATTCAGTCTCAATGTTTTCCTCACTTGATTTCCTCATTCCTTAAAGGTTAGTTTTGACTTTAAGAGAAGCATCTTTCAATGTATTTTCCCTGTGTAGTCAACGCCTCTGCACAGGCTGTTCAGCATTGGCTACTTCACAGCACTCCTTAAGGGGCAATCTAAGAAGAATGTGACAACCCATAGAGTGAAATCTAGATTGTTATAGTAAGTCCTCAATGCTATTGAAACCCAGCTACTCACAGCCCTTAGCAAGAAGAGACTTTATATAGAGGTTGAGAAAGGATTCAAAATGAGTGTCTTGGGGCTGTTCCCAACATCCACATGGCAGTTCACAACCATCCATAACTCCAGTTCTATAAGTTCTCACATCCTCTTCTGACCTCCTGAGACAAGCACGATTATGTGTGGTGTATATACACACATACTGACATACATCCATACACATAAAACTCTTTAAAAAGGAAAAAGAAAGTATCTACTCATTGAAATCATAGAATTTTTGTATCTAGAGAGGCTACATTCCTTATAGAACTTATCAAAATAATTGTTCCCAGTGCTCTGCATCATTTTTTCTGCTTGATATTTATTATTACATGGCTAGACGTGAGGACAGCTTGAAAATCCCTGAAAGGGTGTGCCTCACTGTTTGCCACTGTTGACAGAGAAAAGGTAGATCCTATTGTTTCACTTGCCTACAGTTTTCCTCTTGGCTTCATGCTACTGTGATTTCTGAAGGTTTGCTTTTCCTCTAGGTAAAGGCTTCCACTCCAAAGCACTCAGTGCAGTTACTGAGTTCAAGTAACTTTTTCCTGTCTCCACATTAAAAGCCTTATGCAGAAACATTGTAATGAAAAAGTCAGCGCTATCTTTTTCTCTATAGACTTTTCAAAGTGTTCATGACACTAAGTGTACATATTGCTCTTGCAGGGGATCTGAATACACTTCCCTGCACCCATGTCTAACAGCTCACAACTGCCTATAACTCCAGTTACAGAGCATCCAGCAGATCTGACCCTTGCAGGCACCTGTAATCACATGTATATACCCCCCACCCACACACACATACACACAATTCAAAACAAAAGCAAATCTTTAAACATACATTCATAATCTGTATAATAGGATTGATATGTGCTTTATCTAAAGAAATACCAAGCTGCACAGGGTTGAAATCTCCATTAAAAGAAGGAATGCTAAGAATCTAAAGGTTTGTTATGGTTTTGTGAACCATTAAGATAGAAATCGAATGAACATAGCCTAATGTTTAATGAAGTAACATATACTGGCCAATGATAAAAACAGATACATTTTGAGTGCCTGGCCACATTAGAGGGACCTAATTTGTGAGATTTTAGGACATAGTCAATTTAATGTACTAAAGTCATTCTATTTAACTAAGGCTTATTAAAGTTAAACCCCACATTGTTCCTCTAAAATAAAGCCATATGCTTTTTCTCTCCCATGCCCCGCCAGAAAGATTACCCATTTCTCATCTCTCTCTTCGTTTTCCTAAGGACCCTTCTTCCTCTCAACTTGTTTGCATTCTTCACATTAATTAAAGAACATTTGAGTTTATGATCATGAAGAGATGATGTTTTTTAGGGTATAATTCATCTTAAATTCACTTTCAGTTGTCAGCTTGGGTCTCTGAAAACTTTCCAGGGAAGGATTGCATAAGAGGAAAATACAAACACACGTTCTTTTCCTGTTGTAAGCTTATATTTAGAACCAACAGAAAGAAAGCCAAACGTTATATTTGCAAGATAACAGTGTGTAAGAAAGATGTTAATAATTAGTGAAGAATGCATATCATAACAAGAAACTATGTCTTTCCCTTTTTAATATCTAAAGCGTAAAAAAAGCCTCCAGTTCATGGCTAACTTCATTCAGTCCCTGCAAAAATGCTCAACACTATTTATTAACTATTTATTTACTAACTTCTGCCAAAGTCATTTGATTTGCTTGAAAACACCATCCAAAAAGGTTTTTCCTGCGACTATTCTCCATAAATAGTAAACTATGGTTCCCTAAAATGGAAACGAACACATTTTACTTTTCCTTTAAAAAAAAAAAAATAAAAATAAATAAATAAAATCAACCTTTCCCTCTTTCCCTTCCTTTTTGCAGCCAAAGGGTTCTACGATCTTGATGCCTTAAATGAAGCTGCTTGGACAAGTGCCCAGAGCCAATTGGTTCCCTGCAACGTTTGTGGGCGGACCTTCCTGCCAGACAGACTGATTGTTCACCAGCGATCTTGCAAACCTAAAGCCGCCAAGTAAAGCCCTTTCCTCTGCACCTAGTGTTTCAGGAGTGAATGCCTTCAAAAGGAGGGAGCTTCAGCGGGGTGGGAGGTGGGGAGAGGATGACCTGAGAACTGGAGTTGACTGAGCTGAGCGCTGGCCCACCCCCAGAGACAGCCAGGTTCATTCCTGCTGTTAGGGGGACCATGTCACACTTTCGTCAGGTGGCTTCTCATTGGAGCTGGATGTTTGATCTAAAGGACATTTCTCAGGCAATTGTTTCCATTTTTTTCTCCCATTCTTAACAAGGTTTTTGTACCTCTTAGTGAGCCCAGTGTCCAGCAAAAAGAGGCTTAAAAGGGCAATTCGAGGCAACCGTAGGTTGTAGGCAACATGGATTTCCTTCCTAGTCCCTTGCTTTCTGATCCGGGCATCCTTTTACACAGAGTTACTGATTGAGAAATTTCTTTTCCCTGTAGAATCATTTGACAAGATACATAAACTTAAAAGGGCTGAAGACATAAAAAATATTAGAACCATATTTAACTCTTACTTTGTTTCCAACGCAAGACATGCCTGCTAACAGCCTCAGGGTCATATGTCAGGAGGCCTCAGCAACACAATCCATCAAAATGGGTGGAGGCCAGCTCCTTCCTCCTGCTAAGATCTAGCACTGGTTAAGCCCCCATTGGGTTTTATAGGTTCTTCATTGTTGATTCTAAAAGCCTGCCAGGAAGTTCTGTGCCTCCCCACCCAGGCCCAGGCACTGTAACTGGGTTGTGAGAAAACTTTGTATTTTAGTGTCCTTGAATGTGTTTTAATCCTGTCAGGCCTCTCCCAGAAGGAGGCCTGGGGCCAGAGAGGTGCTCTGCCCAGGAAGCTCTGCTCTCCCGGGCAGTGTGGCTTTGCCTGGAATCCCAGCATTCAACTTGGGTTCTTTGTTCACGATTGGGCTGAATTCCAAGACCATGAGGATCCATCAGCTTCCTGCAATCCTTGCCTTCATGAGTTTACAAAGCACGGCCAGTTCTAAATCATAGGCGAATGCATTCAACCTAATATCTTGGCCCCACATCTACTTATTATCCGGGGTTGAGTTAGGGTAATTGTGCTAATCATTCTGTTTTCTTTTCTGTCTGCCAAAGGAAGCAAGAGATTTATTTCAAGCCCAGAGATCTCTGAAAAAAAGAATCTTGTGAAAGAGTTGGCATTTAGTGAATCATAGTTGGTAACTCCTTTATTTCAGCTTGTTAACCTAAATGATGGAATGTAGCATATTTGCATGTACTGTGGGACCGGGAACTGTGTTACAGCTTTGTATACTGTGGCCTGTGTACCTCTTATATCAGCTCCATGAGTAGATGGAGTTATGTTTATTTTACAAATCAGGGAATGAATAGTTAGACTAAACAACTAATTTGGGAACACACTAAGACTGAGTTAAGCAACAGAATAAAGAAACAAACTTGGGACATGAGATTCCAAGCCCACTATTGATGTTTATGACAAATATCATTACCATAAGATTATGAGTATCCATACAAATATTACTGATAGGACAAAGGAGACATTTCTCCCACAATGGCAAATAACTAAGGCAGACAAGAATTTTAGCACACTTGTCATTAGTGCGTTGATCTGGGTTTATCTTCGACAAAGGTGAAAACAAAACTTTGAAGTAGGTCACCTTAGAGGTTTTGAAAGGTTTTGGTGTTTTGCTGATGTTTCAGGAATCATTATGAGGGGAGTATAGATAGGGCAAGCATTCTGGCTTCAACTTTGAAAGGAGTTGCAGCTAAGCATCATAAAGAGATTAATTGGTGTAGCCAAATAACAGTAGCTGTATCTTCATCATATGAATTAAGCCTCTGAGTTTCTGAAGTGTTTGAAAACACTCATCTAGGCATTATCACATCCTAGGAGAATTGTGAACAGGCTTGAAAATCCATCAAGAAACTTACTGTGGGGATTCCACATATAGTTTCACCTCAGCTGGTCTTCAAATGTTCCATGGAATTGAACATGGAAAGAGCTCAGTTGTAATGACATCACCCACAGGTTCTGGTCCATTATGAAGGCAAGTTATCAAATCTCGCCCTGAGTAGGAATGAGCTCACCAGCTCTCCGCCAACTATCCCCTCACCCTAGTAAGTTCACATCTGTTGAGGATCACGAAGTTCTCAAAAGAAAGTTGCTTCTTTAACAATGGCTGGCACCTTCATGACTCATGAATGTGAACCCTGATATAGTTTCCATAGTTACCCACTACATGCTGAAGAAGAAATAGTAGATGAAGGTATTCTGAACTCTCCATTAGCCCAGATAGTTATTGGTATGAGATATAATGCCACTAAAAAACACCAAAATGGTGCAATGCCTTCCTTACTCTGTTACCTCCTGCTGTATAAACTTTATTTGAAGAATCTTTTGCAAGATTATGGGGAGGCCTCTGGGATGTCTTGATGATCCTTTACATAATGAATTTACATAAAAATTACAAGGTCTATCCTACTAAAAGACAAATGACAAGTGTGTTGTAGTAAGGGGCATCGCTACTATGTGTAACTACTTAGACACTTTACATCACGGGGGCTCTCTAGGCAGGTACACTATAGTATTTTTGTAACAAGTATTTCCAGATGATGTTCCAAGGTAATCCCTGCTGTATTGCTTTGATTTGAGGAACATGGGTCTCAGTTCCTTTGTAGAAAAAAAAGAAGCTGCTATCCCCAGTTGAAGCTATAAATAATATAGAGATAATGGAAATCCTGAGTTTTCTGCTTCATAAAAGCAGGCCTTGAACTTTGTGTGCTTGCCTGTTTCTGTTATTTCTTCTTTTTACTTGTGTCTAAGACCAATTAGTATGGCTTGAATTTCATATCATGTAGAGGCAGGAAGCTTAGCCCTTTCCTTCCCTTACCCTGAGAGGTACTTCCCCTCGGTCTGGCCATAGTCTACCTTTCCTTATCATTTGCCTTTCATACAGATTTGCTATCTCTCTCAAATAAATAGTTGGCCTTCCCCTCTCTCTCTCTCTCTGTAACAAGAGATAAAAAGCAAGGTTTTCCTTGCACTTGGAAGACTATCACAAATAAAAAGCAGTCGGACTTCTAGCAAAGGCCAAAATTGGCAAGAATATAGGAAAAGTTTTTGATACAGTATTGCAGGATGGTACACTTTTATTCTTTTTAAAATATCATGGTATAAAAACATTCAAATACATATCCTCAATGACCAAAGGAGCATGGCATCTCTTGTTCCTCTATGTTCAGTTTGACTTAGTTCTGCCATCACTAAGGCTGTATTTTAATGGTTTAAATCCCATGGTTATCATCTGGGGCAACAAGGAAGATGAAGATGTCAGAGAGATGCTCAGTGGCCCATGATTCTACTGTGTCTCTCTGGAAATGCTTTTCATTACTGCTTATAAAAGTACAAGGTTAAGTTAAAATGGCTGCAAGCTTTTTAGGTGTTAAAATGAGACCTGCTTCAGGTTTCACAGAAGCAGCTTTTCTTACCGGTTCACACTGAACTCTGTTGGTTCAGGGAAGTAGCGGAGATGTCCTTTAGTTAGCAGAGCCTATGCTATGCCAAACCTGGAGGATGTGAAAGGACCGAGCAGACACCATAACAGGCCTCTCGGTCTTCTCTCAGAGGTCAGGTCTCAGTTTCATTTTCATGACACTGAACAAGAAGTTTCTGAGGAAAAACACTAAGGAAAATCTCCAACACCCCCAACAGCAAGGAGGATGCCTGATACATGCAGTAGTAATAGGCCAGGCCAGGCCTAAGCCAGCTTCCACAGCAGCTCAACGACAGGGCCTATGACTTGTCCATGGCTGCTCCAAAATGGAAAATTGTAGCCCTGACAAGCTCCTGACCAGCCCCAACCAATTAAAACATACTGATATTGTCACTTGCTTAAGCCAATCATATCTAAAATGACCTAACTTCCTTAGACATTGCCCCCAATAAGGCTTAAAGGAAGCCCCCACCCCCTTTTCGGGGATCTGGGTTGTTGCCATCTTGCCTTTGTGTAGGGCGGTCAGTCCCAGCATGCTGGAATGAAAAATATTCTTTTCTTTTGCATCAGATCTGGTCTCTTGGTGGTCTTTGGGAGTATGAACTCTGGCCAAACAGCTTCCATAGTCTTTAAAACTGCTTTTCTGTTGCATAAGACTTATCCCATAGGTTCAGGTATTTGAACTCCCCACCACCACCACAGTATTTTTATTAGTTATTTGGGAATTTGGGACCATGGATGCCAATCACACTGCCTTCCCATTTCTCCCAGATCCACCCTACAACCGTTGTGCCACCTTCAAAAAAAAAAAAAAAAAAAAGTCTAGTTTGTGTTACCCATATACTCATTGGAGCATGGCCAAACTCCCAGTGGCCAGCCCCTAAGGAAAATGGAATGTTTCCCCATGCCCCCCCAGAAGCCATTAGCTGTGAAGATCTTCACCTCTATCACAATTTTTAAAACTCTTTAATATCCTCCTGTCTGGATTAATTCTCAAGGGGGTAAGGGGGTCGCCACAGAAGCCTTCAATGTCTCTTGTTCTCAATTATGAATCTGCAGCTGTAGATAACACTGCAAAAGAAGTTGCCTTGCCCACAGAAACCAGAGGCAGCTTGGGGCAGACATCAACACATCAACCTGGGGCAGGCAGCAGCACAGATCAAGGACATCGACACGGCTTCTGTATGTAGCAGGGATCTTGGACACCAACATGACCTCCAGGGTCTGCACAAACCACAGACATCTGGATGCCCTCCAGGGGCAGCAGGGACCGTGAAATTTCTTCCCAGGAGACTTAGTCCAGAAAATGAACCATCCTTCATCTTGGATATCTTTTTGTTGTTCAGAGGCCATATGAGTTTGGGGCAGGACCTGTTTGAGTTTCAGGGTGGCCTCCCCCCGCCCACACACACATGCAGGGCAACCAACTGAATGGCAACAACACTTCACCCCCTGTCACCACCCTAGCAGTGAGGTGAACCAGGCCAGGTGGTAGCCTGAATCTCCCTGTGGCTGCTCTCATACCAGGCTGC